TTTTTTTTTTTTTTTTCTTTCAGAAGCTTTAATTGGGTCTTCCAGTAAAACACAGAAAGTACAATCCCTTTAAGCTTGCTGTCTTCTACCTTTACAGATCTGCACAACACGACAAATCTGAGGTCACGGTCCTTATCTGGAACAGGACGCTCTCTGGTGGGCTCATGGCTGAAGCTGAACAGAACAGATGAAAACTTTCTACTCTATGCACACTTAACTTACATCACTTTGCCATTGCATCGAATTTTAACAGGTGAATTTTAACATGTATTATGCATGACATTCCCAGACAGCCTTCTGTGTTGGGGGATTTTGCTGTGAAGAGAGGAACAAGTATTTCTGTGTAAAGGATCATCACTTCACAGACCTCATTTGCTGACTGTAGCAGCAAATCAGTGTGAATAAGTAGAATGGTGTCAGCCTGTTCTCTGGCTCCGGGCCAGTTTTGCTTGGTGAGGATTCACACAAGTTGATAGTTTGTACTGACAAACATGCAGAGGAACACTAGTTGCCTGAGTACTGGAATATAAAGCTTGTCCATCTCATGAGTGCAAGACAACTCATTGTAAGCCCATCCGCTGACAGCAGTAATTGGAGCAGAGATCGGTGACTGGGAGGGTTACAGAAAGGCAGCTCAGAAATTTGGAGTGACCTCATTTGCCAGTTTTGACTCTTAGATTTCATTTCCATGAAAGTTCCTTGGACTGATCCGAGTGCCCATACTAATGCCCCGAAGTCTGTCGGGTGCCCAGTGTCTTTAACTAGACATACGGATGTTTGCGGGTCGCTCCATGAATAATCAGAGCCCCCCCACACTGTTGGTCTAGCTATGCCAATCGCTACATTGACAATGGCCAACTCTAGCTGGGCTAGGATAGCACAAGAAGTTGAGTTTTACAATCTGCAGGCAGTAATGAAGTTTTGATTTTCATCCAGATAACTCTTGTCTGCCTACAAGTACAGGTGGGCTAGAGGAAACAACCAGTCTGTTTGAACTCTTATCCATCAGCCGGGCTGCTGGCTTGTCAGGGACACAGCCTGCAGGGTGAGGGACTCTGGAGATACTTCTGAAAACTCAGAGAGCAGCGGTGGTTAAGGGCTCTCTCCTCTGTCTAAACGTAGTGGTGACTTCTGTCGTACAGGCGTTGGCAGTGGCTGCTCCTGAAAATACACATTGACCCTCTTCGGGCAGAGAGAAAGTTTGATCCAGCTGCAGAGCAGTATCTCAGGAAAAACTATTGCTGAAAATCCAAAATCTAGACTGGAATAAAGTGGCGATCCCACTGCAATGTGAAGTCCTGTCTCTAACCTTGGAAGTTCCTTAGAACTGTTAACTTCCTCAAAGAACTGAATCATCTTCCTTCTCCCATCCAGCAGACGGGATGACTCCTGAATAGGTTTGTCTGCTGTGGGCTTTTGGTCAGTGCCTGCTTTTTCTGAGGAGGGAAAACACTTAAAAACAAAACCAGTCTGTTACATAGGAATTATTCCCAGACCGTTCCTGAAAGGAAAGCTGAAAGGAAAGGAGTTGGGAAATCTGTTGTTAAACAGGTTAATCTGCCACTGAAAGAAGATAAGATAGTACAGGTCTTAGTGTCACGGGTTGTATTATGCTAGCGTACTAGTAATAGCTGCAGTCTTGTCCTCGTTTGCAGGCTGGGATCTCAGAGCCTGTTGCAAAAGTAGGTTGGCTCTTACTCTGCAGAGAAGGAAACCATAGCCTGTAAGGCAGAAGTGGAAATTATACTTAGCAAAGAGGTGTTTCTGCATTTGCCTTTTCGCTGTATGTAGAGACTTCTTTCAATTTAGAATTACAGATTCTGGTAAAAATGGATCCTCTGTAATTAAGGGTGGATTTTAAACAGTCTTTCAGCACGCTACATAATTATTCCTTGTGATAATTATGTTGATAACCTTACAGCTAGTTAGCTGGAGTTACCAAGCTCACTCACGCTCTCACCACAGGCATTTTGGAGTTCACAGTAGACGTATTGTTCCTGCTGGCATTTAATACTTGCTCAAGTGGGTGGCGTAAATGCCTCCATGCTCAAATATTTGCTTTGAGCCTTGAACATCCTTTCCGAGACTTAATTTGTTTAACATTAAGGTTGCAGAAATCGGTGTGTGTGTGTGTATATATATATATATTGAGATGCACAGAAATAGGACAGGAAATGTCTGGGCTGTAAGGCAGAATTTTTATCTGCAGTTTTTCCACTACCTGCGTTTGCGTTAGGTTGGCGCGTGGGGTGGAGCCCGTTTCCAGTGCCTTTTTGTAATTAATGCGTTGGCACCAGAAGCAGCTTTCCAGCAAGCAGGAGCATTGCACGTGGGGCAGGGTGAAGTGGGAAGGATGCTCATCTCCCTTGGGTAGTTCAGGAAGCCCGTAGTAAGAAATCACCCAGTGGTAGTAATCAAAGCACATTTTCAAATGCCTGGAGTTACACATACTGAGAAGACTTCCTTTGCTCTGAGCCTTTTCCCCACGCTAGATAATCACAGTTCTCTCAGCCTTTCCTCCTGTGTCAGAGGCTCCAATCCCTTCATTATCTTTGCAGCCCTGGACTCGCTCTGCTGTGTTTCATTCTTTCCAAGTGTGGCTAGAGCCCTCTGGAGCTGTGGATCAATTTTTACACACGTCATCCTCTTTGTGCAGCTGTATGTGATCAGCTTCTTAATTAAATGTGTGCTCCTTTTTTTCCATGTCCTTTATTCTCTGCATAGCCTTGAAAAGGACATAGCAGCCCAGATTCCAGATATTTCTCTGTGTGGCCATGACAGCGTGCTGGGTTGGCTGTTTACATTTGGAAAGATGTCCATGATCAGGACAGATATTTTACAGGTTCATATTCTGTCACATGTGGACAATATGGAACTGAGAGGCCAACAAAAGGAGCTCTTTTTTTTTTTTTTTTTTAGGCTGTGGAATGGATGAAACAATTGAATTGCTTACGTCTGCATCTTCAAGCTAAAAGTCTCTTTGAGGGTCCTGGGGGGTGTGTGGGGGTGTGTTTCTCCCTTTGAGAAGGGGAAAACTCTTGGCATCCCCCGTAAGGGCACTTCCACTGGATCCTCTGGAAGACGATGCCACTTCCTGTCTGACACATGTTGCTTCATCCCCCGATAAATGATACTTCGTAGATCAGCCATCCCCTCTGTGGGATGGGATGTATTTGTGGCTTACCATCTCTCACCTAGGACACAGCTGGGGAGGAATTAAATTGGGCTTTAACAGGCAAAGTCACATACTCGTCGTGTTTTAAATTCCTTTAGCAGCGAAACAGGGGGACGGTGCTGCAGTCCACAGCTGCATCTCTGGTTCGTCGTCCTTTCTGGTACAGTGGCTACTTTCAGGAGCCTCCTAAGTTTCCTGTATCTCTTTGTTTCTCTCCCTTGCCCAGATATCCTGGAAGTGCGGCAGAAACCAATTCTGATGACATAGCAGAGAGCGGGCACTGCCTTGGAGCCTTGTTGCCAAGTGCCTAACCACAGCGGTTTTCTGTGCTAACACTACCATCTAGTGTCAGGAACATAAACCTCCGCAGGAAAAAGGGAAGTCCAAGAATACCAGCCGATCAAAAGTGCCTCTTTCTTCCTTCCTCTGCTGTCATACACCGTATGCCCACTTGCAGTACATCACTTGAGTGTTTCTGACTGGAAGAGGACTTTCAGCAAGATAAAACGAGAAGGGGCTGTGTTTAAAACGAGTCAACACTTCATGGACAGTTTGTTACTGTGTTTACTTTATAACTAAGAAACCAACAATATGTACAGGATGTGTTTAAACTTTATATTCTTTGAGAGAAACCACCAGAGAATTTCGTAATGATGTAGTAACGAACGTCGTCCCACAGACTCTCACCCGTACACTCTCCGTGTCAGTTTGGCTTAACGTGTGTGTGTGAGCGTGTGTGCGTGCGTGTGGGGGTTGAGGGGACGAGAGAAGAATTTCCTAGTGAGGGAGGAAAAGGGAGAAGATGCTACAAAGATACGTCGCCGTTTTGGTACATGCAGCGGGTCAGGTCAGAGCTTAAAAGAGGCTGAAAATGTTCCCATTTGTTCGTTTGTCAGTGTTAGGACAGGTGAACTCTGCTGACAGATTTCCGTATCTACCAAAGAACAGCAACATTTTCATCCTCAAGAACTGGCTGAGAAAATGAGCCAGTGAAAAGAAGGCTAAAATGTGCTGCTATAGTAAAGCCAAGGTTCATATCCAGAACTAATGCTGCTTATCTCTCTGTTCGCCGAGTCGATACAAGTTTGAGTCTAAAGTGGAAAAACAGGAGGCTGTACTCAGTCTCCAAACCCTAAAAACCTTACCGATACCCAACATCCTCCTGCATGCACTGGAATTCAGAGGACGTAGGGTTGTCCTTGTGGTAGCGTTTGTAGCCAAGGAGGCCATGAGAGCTGATTCGTGGGGGGGCAGCTTGCCCGGATTCTTCATCTCCTAGTGGTGTTTCGCTGCACTCTTACATGCCGAAGCACAGAGTTTTCTTGAAAGACAAACGATTGAAATATAATTCTGCTCTGAAAAGTGACTAAAAATTGCATGGGGGTGGGGGTGTGTCTGAAAATGGTGTGTCAGGAGCTCTCAGGAAAAAAGCTTTATGTTTACAGCCAAAACGCAGCTTTCTCTAAATAGCAAAACTCTGCTGCCCTTGCCCTTGAAAGCTAAAGGGTTGAATACTGACACTACTGCAGTCCGGTTTGCTTTTTTGGTGTGGGAGCCCGTCAGTACTTCAGTTTGTTTGTGACAGCATAAGTAGCACAGCAATGGGCAGGGAAGCGTGTCGCTTAGAGCATGTGAGACTCCGTTACATGCACAACGGGAGAGCAAAGATGCCATTTTTGTCACTTTTCAGACTCTGAGCACCTCAGCGCCGTTGCCACCGTTACCAAACGGCACGTGCTCTGAGCCTGGACCTTTGTCTCCCTTAGACCCAGCTTTTCCCAAAGCGCTTTGTTGTTATTCTCTCAACAGCATCTGATGACTTAACCTCTCAAATAGGACTTTCTGACTATTTTTTTTTTTTCCTCAGGCCAGGTTCCATGAGAATAGCTTCACCTCAGCATAAAGGTAGACTAACTTTATCATTGAGCCAACATGATGAATCCAGCATGGTAAGGAGGTCTTTTTTTTTTTTTTTTTTTTTTTTTTTTTTTTTTTTTTTTTGCAGTAGTCACCTTAGCACGGAGAGCGATGGCATTTCTCACACAAGCGACAGGGATGGCTGACCAGTTTTTAGTTTGCTTCAGACGTGTCACAGCAGCTTTAGGAAAACATTCCCTTTGTCATTACCAGCACAGCAGCTTTTTCACGTTGCAGCCTTTGAACGTTGCTCCACAGGAGCCTGTGGTTGTGGACGTGAGGGTGTTCATGCAGTCTGACCTGAGGTGTATGAGTTGGGTGCCTAGGCTTCCTCCCTGAGCCAGGGGGAGAGCTGGAGTCCTAAACCAGCAGCTGAAGTGCCCTCTCAGAGAACTTGCCAGGCAGCCTGGGTGCTTACCCTAGATCCCCAGGCAGTGTCCCTGGTGCCAGTCATCACAAATATTCTCCCTGCGCCCGTGCTGAGAGCTGAACCACTCTGCAGCCAGAAGACCAGTCCTATTCTGAACCCTCTCAAGATGCACCTAATTCTGCATTTTTACTGCTGGGCTGGGCAAATCACTGCTTGGTTTTCCTTTAAATATTCACTAGGAAGGGAAGGGAGAGAGGATTAATATTTGTACTACTAGTGACAACCGATCCCTTTCATCAAACAGCCAGAGGAGTAACACACGTGAAAAGGAAACGTGTCCAGATTGGAACACGAGTGGTAGGTGCCCAAATGTTCAGTCCATGGTCATTTCTAACACTTTCTTGGTATCGTGTGTTACCTTTAGGTAGCTTAATGTCACGTGATCTGAAAGACTGAGCAAATCTTGCTGTGTCAGATTTCAGAGCAAGTGAAAAACAATTCTAAAATGTTACAGAAAGTGCAGTTCAGATCCCACATCTATTATGCAGGAGATACCGTCTGCTTTGTTACACATACGTGAGTGGATTTTTGATGTCTAGTTTTTGAAGGGTTGTGATGTAAATGTCCTAAAAAAGTCAGTTTTTTTCTTATACTTTGCTAGTAGATATGCTTAGAGATATGTTAAATCTCACCTTTTTTTAGTAGAAAAGGGCTACAGGCATGCCCAGATGGACATCCGGAGAAAACAAAAAGTCTACTGAGTGTCAATAATGCTTTTCAAAAACAGGTAGATGTGCCAGATTCTCAGTTGTTCCTCCTCTAAACAACTGGCTTAGACTTCTTACTTATAGCCCCTGGTTCTCACTTTCTGTCATCAGGTGGGGAAAAAAATATTCCACACTTTGTTCTGCTTTTAAACCTGGAAAATCACTGTCCTCGTATCGGCACATCGACAGGGAAGATGATCGAGGTTTTGCTTGGGTCAGGGTGGCACAGCTGGGCCCTGAGCACGCTGTTGCACTAGATCACAAAAGAAAAGGGAATGTTAATGGGAACCTCTCACCATTTTGATTTGGAGGAGTTTTTAATTCTGTAGCTCCGAAGCAGGAAACCACGTTGAGTCTCTGCTGGGCCATTGAAATAACTGCTGGGGAACGACCGAAGGCTGCGTGGCTGTCCGTGTCTTAACTGTTGGAGCACAGTGGTTTTCATTAGCTATGTCGATGCTTGGGAATGTACCGTGGTTAACAAATTCAGGAAGCTTTGCAGAACAGCTTTATTTCCAGAATCCCACCGTACATCGTTCCTCGGCTCCCTTCTTCCATCCCTCTGCCCGTTGGCTCCCTCTGGAGATGGAGACTCTCTGCTTGACCTCTCCACAGATGGTGTGTGTTGCTAGATGTCAAATGCAAGGATGTAAATCTTTTCACCCTTAACGGGTTTTTCACTGCTATCAGTTTAACAAGTAAAAAGCCTCTGTTTTTTAAAGAAAGATCTTAATTATTTTGTATTAGCAGGTGATGGCTCTGCCTTAGAGATCACCACGTATGTGACACTGCGTTCTCTTGTCAGCCAGCACAGGGTGGGTTTCAAGTCTCCTTTTAAACGAAGAAGCCATTTTTAGAAACGCCACAAATCTCTCATCTGTCTTGGCCAGTGCAGTTTGTGTGGGTTCACGTTCCTTCTCTTTTTATTCTCCTGGTCTTCACTGTTTACAAGGCTTGAGCGTGGTGGGCTCTGGATCACCATTACTCAGTTTTGCATTTCTGGGCAGGGTGTGTTTTCCAGAAAAGAGAGTTGTTTGCACAGGTGACTTTTTGCAGTAAAACAGTTTTCCCAAAGTATGTTCTCACGTCAAGTTTTAATTTAGATAGTGAAGTCCTTGGCTCTGCAAACTGATTTCTTCCGGCAGACCCTGATGTACAGAATCCCATCTGGTCACTGAAGTTCCATGTGGATGTGGAGTCCACATAAACAGTCTACACTTTCAGACTAGTCACCTGCTTCTTGCCAGTCATTAGTTGTTCCCCTTTCAGATGATTGCTTGTCCTGTATTTTGTAGTTTGAAGCTTCCCCTTATTAAGGATAGATGTAAGATAAAATCTTCAGAAGTGCCTAAGCCCTGTTGTTCTCCAGTGGGGTTTAAGAACAAATTTTTATCTAGGAAATGAATAAAGTAGTCTTAAATTCTATCTGTGTTGTGTGTAGCAGCGTCAAGAAATGACAAGTTTACAGTTCCTGGAAGAACTGGCCGTCTCCTACAGACTCGCCCTTTGCATTTGAAAGACTCTCCAAAGGTTGTGGCTGAAAGCTCTGGAAAATGGATTTGTTGTGATCACAGCAGTCGGGTATCTGTGAATGCCTTATTTTGTTTTGTGAGGTATGACTGGAAGTGTGTGGCGCTGGTGTGTAGAAATTCTGTGTCAAAAATAGGTGCGGTAGAATCCAGTTAAAGGCATTGTGAAATAAGTAGCTTTTACACCAAACCTTAAACAAAAGAGTATTTTACATCAGAATGTAGCTGTTTGGATGTTTGGTCAAGATCATAACAAGTCTGCAAGCAGGTTATAATGTTGAACGTTCTCTCTGTAAATATATAAATACTCTCAGCCTAATTTTGTCAGACTAACACATGTTGCATGGTTTGGGGTTTTTTTGCCTCATTGATCATCAGTGTTGATTTAAAAGGTGATGGGTTGAAAATCATGCTGGCACTGTACTGAGCCCTTGGAACAAAAAGCAAGAAGAACCTTTGTGCACCAAAAATGAAGTTGACTTTGCATATGGCAGCAGCAAAGAAAGTGTTGGACTCTGCAGCCAATAAACAGACCTCTAAACGACCATGAATTCTGTTAATAGTGTTTTCTCTCTACTCCAGTGGTGTTTGAGTTCGAAGGTATTCCTTCCTGGTGGCAAGCATCAGTGGCGGGGTAACACTCCGTGCCACTCCTGGTGAGCTTTGCCAGGGAGATGCTCGTGAGGCCGAGGAGCCTCTTCGCTCGTTCTTGTTCCACTCTGAGCAAAGCCCAGCTTCTGACTCTGCTCGCTGAACCTTTCAGCTTGGCCATCGTACGAGGAGGAAGGAGGGAAAACTCAAGGTACTCCTGAATTTATTGTAGAAGGATTTTTGTTTCTTCCTTTAGATGCTAGCATTTAAAAAAAACCCAAATCAACAAAAAACCCCAAAACAAACAAGCCAACCAACAAACCCCCCAAAAAGCCTTTCTAAACTGCTCTGTGTTTCAAACTTCATTACGTAGTCATTAACATTTAGGTTTGTGCAGTGTACCATACTGACAGACTGAGCGCTGTAATAATTTTTTCCTGATAAATTCAGGAAGAACTTCAATACGGGTTTGTGCAATGTGTAAAACTGAGATTGCCCTTTAGCCATTAACTGCTTCCTCTGCCTTAAACTGGGCGTCCTGACATTGAATCTGGTTTTGTTTGAAGCCCTGCAAGGCACTGCATCCTCCCTCTCCACCTGATTTTTGTGACTAATGTTCCACAGTAGGCTCCTTCAGGGGATTTTTCTATCTAAATCAGTTAACATTGGTTTGGTGAGTGTTTTGTTTTAACCACTATAGGTAGAAGTTGACGTGCTGATGATGCCGTTTCAAAGCATCCCAGACCAGAACTGTCTTACAAACCCGTGTGTGGTGTAACAACATCTGTGCTAAGCCACTCACGATCGCTTGGAGACGTGTGGTATGTTCAACAAAATTAAAAAACAGTTTAGGAAGGAGAACAGGGTGTTTTAGTTCTTTATATGGAGATTTGAGCAGATTGTTGGCAGGGGTGTTCTGTGCGTGCGCATGCAACTGGGCAGGAATCTTAACTGGCTGGGAAATAGTAAAATATGGCTTGCTTAGGAACAAACAGTGTGATTTTTTCCTTGAATGCTTTAAATGGAATGCAGCCGGAATGGAGAAGGCATTATTTAAAACAGTACAAAAAGCAAAGAGCAGCATAAGCTTAGAAATCATGGTGACAAACCTCACCGCTCGGTCTTGCAGGAGTTTGTGACAGGAAAAGGTGTGCTGGTTCCGCTTCAGCTTCTTTAATCCAAATGTCTGGGGGACAGAAGACTGCCACGTACATCTCTGAAAAGCTTTCACAACTAATGAATTAATTCCTTGAACATGCTATAAGAAAAATACTCTTTTAAGAGTGTGGCAGCGTGTCTTGTTCAGTAGAGTCCCTGCTTTGGGGAACCAAGTTAACTCGTGTCCTTTTGTCCTGGAGTGTTGTCTGTCTGTCCTCATCTGGAGGGGTGCTCCCCAGAAATACCATAATACTGCTTGGCACACAAGTTTATCATCAAAACTCTGATTTTACAAAGTAAAATCACACTCTGGAGATTGAAGAAAACCCACGTGTCTTTGCTAGCAAATAGCTATTTGTGCACTCCTGATTTTTGTAATTAAAAGTTTGCAGAAAGCAAAGCACTAAAATGCAGGAAGAGTGTGGGTCTGATTTTTTTCCATTGACAGTGTAGGTGAGAATCTGGGAGTAGCAGATGCTACTCGGTAAAGAAAATGAATGAAAATACTTCAAGAAAAATAAGAGTTCATTCAAGTTCTGTCCCCAGCTCACAAGGGTGAGGATCTCATCGTGGGAGATAAGTCATTTATGATTGGTTAAGACAGAAAACTCTTCCCCAAGCCAAGCTAAGTTGGCTTTTCCTAGTAAGAGTTAATACTGATTGACGTGGTGGTATGAAAACTGAGGTAGATGATCCGTTTTCTTGTTCAGACAGAAGATTTTGTGTACACAAATGGGATTTATTTCTCTGTGAGGAGCGTGGATTTCTTCCTTCCACTGCAGAAGATAAAATTGCCCAGCCACGTAGTTATTGTACCTGCACGCAACGTATACCCTGTGGAACCTACCCGAAAAGCGGGATGATTTTTTTTTTTTTTTCAGCAAAACATCCCTGTAGGAGCAGGGAAAGAACATGAGGGGTGGGAGAGGGCAAGGAGCCCATTAAGCAAAGCAGACTGGGGTGGCTGCTGCTCTTACATGGGTGAAATTTAGGTAATAACATAAATCTGTGAATAGTAACTATGCAGGTAGCTAACTCGCACGGTCCTGAATTCACTCCGAAGAAATTAGTTAAAAGAAGATGGGATAAACAGTTTAAAAACCTTATTGAAATGAATGGAGCTGGTTGATAATTTTCCAAGAGACCAAGTCACCCCTGCACAGCCCGGTGGAGACCACCTACATTTAAAAAAACCCTTTGTCTCAAAGTGCCGGTTCCAGCTGCTTGGATGTTTTCCCTGTTACCTGTTTATGCCACCCTCAGTGGATTCTGGTGATTCATAACTTGAGCAATCACGTTGTGCAATACTAACCCATGCTCTTCTGCCTCCCACTCCCCCCCACAGAAAGGGTGGCTTTGTTTATGGTTCTGCTTTTCCTGCTGCAGCAATACTGTGAGGAAATCCAGCAAAAGCCGTTTCCTAGTCTACAGACTCTTCAAAGTCTCAGATTCAGCCTTTAATTCAGATGCAACCGCTGTGGTCATCAAAACCCCGTGTCACTTAGAGAATGCCTTAAGCCTGCCCTAAGTCTAGAGGCGTTTCTTTGCAGCTGGAAGGACAAGAGGGTTGGCAGCGCCCACTGCTCCCTCTCCCTCATCACTGCAAGTGTCTTTAATTCAAAAGGAGAGTGGTAGATGTAGTATCAAGGAACAAGGAGGGTTATTACACAAGCAAGATTTCTGAACGAGGTGTGTCCTGGCAAGTACCCCCATGGTTAACCAGCCCAGCATGTAAGGAGTAGATCAGCAGAGGTGATTCTTCCACATTAGTCACTTCGGACTTCACAGAATCCCAGAACCATCTGGGCTGGAAAAGCCCTTGCAGCTCCTCCAGCCCACCCATGACCCTCCCCTGACCGTTCCCAACTCCCCCAGACCCCTCAGCGCTGGCTCAGCCCGACTCTTCAACCCCTCCAGGGATCCCGGGGACTCCCCCCTGCCCTGGGCAGCCCATTCCAACGCCCAACAGCCCCTTCCGCACAGAAATCCTTCCTCAGAGCCAGCCTGACCCTGCCCTGGGCAGCTTGAGGCCATTCCCTCGGGGCCTGGCGCTGGGGCCTTGGCTCCAGAGACTCATCCCCCCTCTCTGCCCCCTCCTGGCAGGGAGTTGCCGAGGGCCAGGAGGTCTCCCCTCAGCCTCCTCT